CCCCAAAACCCCAAAACCCCCTTTGCTTATGCTTAAAAGGTTTAGTAGAATATCTATAGTTATAAATGGGTTTTAATTATAAATAGGATTTTTATTATATAATTAATCATATTATAATGAAGCTTCACTTTCGTTTATCCTTAATTTATGTTCTGATATTGCTCTGCTAATCAAAACAATAAGGTTAACTTAATAATTATAAAACGCCAGATTTCTTAGAGCCAATTGAAATTATAAATTCTCAAAACTAAAATTGAAGTAATTTTCCTTCTACATCATAGTAAATTATTAAGAATACGACATAAGAGTGGCAAAAACCCATAATGCTTACTAAATCTAAATTTTTATACAAAGCTAGCTAAGAATTAGAAAGAAAATAAGTAAACTATGTTCATCTATATAGAAGATAATTAGTAGAAGATAATTCTACTTCAAATACTAATTCTACAAATATATCTAACTCAACAAATACAACAATCGTAAATCCCTGTGAAACAGCAGTTATAACTAAAGGATAAAACATAGGATACATCTATTATCTAGGAATGGGAAGATCTTCTATGGGAATTAGTCCTTTCTCATCAGACAATCCGAACTGTACTTTTTGGTATAATGCTTTCTTTGCTAATAATGGAACAAATTTCACTCTTAATAACTCTTATATTTTTACTTTTACTAATACTGCCGGAGGTTCTATAGGAATTAAACCTACAGATAGCGCTGATCAATTAGGAATAAAATACTAGTTTACATATACTGGATATCTTACTCCTACAAATTATAAGAGTATTACTGTGTAATTGACATTTGGAAGTTGGTGCTATCGTTCAAGTATAATAATAAGACCAAATCCAGTACTCAAATAAACCTTCGATATTGAGGGACCTCCTAATTAAATTATTTATTAGAATATTTCTTGGACTTAAGCAAATACAACTTGTTAAAATGTCTCTTATTAATTGACTGTAAAAAATACTACTAATCCGCTTTTAAATACTACAATTAGTAATATGATTCTTTTTAGTGCTGATAATTCTTATTTATACATTCCTGTATACAAATTGAATATGATTGGTATATACGAAGTCAAAATTTAAGGTACTAATGGATTTACTTCTATCTCTACAATAATACAATTAATTATTACTGATACTTGTGCAAATAATTCGATTACCCAAGGAATATTGAGTAATTAGACTTATTAAGTGGCAGATAAACCAGCGTAGTATTTGATAAATCCTTGGAATTTGACTATCCCCCACTGTGCAAATTTAACTTATTATCTAAAATATATTGGTACTGTTCCATATTCTAACTTTGTGACGATAGATTCTTCCATTCCAGCATTAAATTATTAATCAAATTCAAATGTTGATGCTGGAAATTACACATTTTAATTATTAGTGAATGGCTCTTCCGAATTTCATACCTATTAAGCAAATGGAACTTGGCATCTTTCAATATCCCCTTTGATTCTACCTTTTAATCAAGGACCTCCTTTTTTTTCGGAATTCAAGAATAGTGTTTGAGTGAAGGTAGGTACGAAATTCACCTACTAAATACCTGATGCAATTGACCCAGATGATGATTCCTATAAAATTAAAGTATCTCTGGGTTAAACTTCATTATTTTCCACTTCATCTTCAAGTGAAATTACTATTCAACCTAAAACATTAAATATTGGTTCGTACACTGTAGGTATAGAATTAATGGATCTAAATTCAATTCCTAAATCTAAGAAATATTCTTTAACGATAGAAGTTTATGATGAAATTTAAATATAAGAATCTGATATGCTTTCCAGTGATTCTAATAAGCATTAGTCAAATGACTCAGGTAATTCAACTGTAGAAGAATAGCAGTAATTAAGCAATGATCTAGAGTAACTAGAAAATGAAATTAATTAATCTTCTGAATTAACAAGTAGCAGCAGTAATAGCACATTTTCACAGCAAAGAGCATACGAAACTATCATTAATTTTTACAAACTTTTAAAAAAGAAAAAGATGAGCGGTTCAGTTTTTCCTTCATTAGAAAAGGTTTCATCAAGTGGCGAGGTTAGTATCATATATGATTAGCCTATGTTAATTCCGAAAAATATAACAATACTGTGAAATATGATAAGTCTATCATTCAAAATTTAGTCAGGTAACTAGTATGAATCTAATAACAAGCTGCCAAATATCACGAATTGGGAAATTCTTAGTTACACCTCAAATTAAATGAAAATTTAGCTATATTTTTCAGACCCTTAATAAATATCTTAATCAACTGTAAGCTTATATTAATACGTTATTTGTTAGGCATATGACAAGCTTTTGATTAATTTCAATCAGTCTATATTTTATGTGAATTAATAAAAAAACAAAAAAGTAGATTAAATGAAACTTATAAGTTGATCTATACCTCCTCAAGCCTCAAATTCATGTATGTATATTCAATCATTATTACATAGCCGCTATGAAATTAATGGAAGGTACGACTAAATAGGCTAGCTCAGTTCTAATGGGATCATTAGGATTCAATGTAATTCTCTAGATAGTCCTTGGATTTTCAATGAAGAAACTTTGGATGCTTATCAATACTTTACAAATTTTGGTACACATTCCCATGCTTTAAATCCCAATGCCTGCTAATGCAATTTTATGTTTTTAAGCCTTAATTGACATTTCTAATCTATAAGTAATACCTAAAGAGCAAATTAAATCTTATGCAGGGTCTATTTATGATACTAGTACTGATAAAGTTGATGAACGATATAGTTAAATGGATATCTTTTTATTATAGATAGTATTTCTTTCATTTGCTTTAACTATTTACGTTATGGAAATAAACTTTTAATGAATCTAGGATTCTTATTTCTTGCTATTATAGGCTTTTTCCTCATAGTAGGTGTTGTTCTCTTGATTAAACTAATATCTAAGAAGATGCCTGCGTAATTAAACTATTTTGATTTCATTATGTAATAGATGCCGTAAAGCCTATGAGTTTTTGAAGTCAAGATTATTTTTTTCAGCTCTGCTCAGACCAATTTTAAAAGGTTATTTAAAATTTTGTATTGCCTCTTTTATTGCTATTAAAAGTGTAAGCAAATATTTCTACTAAAGAATTTGTATAGTTTATGAGTGGATCACAAGATATATTAGAATCAATAATTTCAGCTATAATGGCTATTGCTCTAATTCTCTGCCCTTTTGTATTTGTGAGATTTTTGAAAGTTTATAAAAGGTAATTGAACAGTGAGAATTTTAAACAAAAATTCGGTACTCTGTATATGAATCTCGATACGAAGTCGTTCATATCATTACTTAATCTATTGAGCTATTTACTGAGAAGACTTATTATGGCAATCTCGATTGTATATTTGAATGATTACCCAGGATTTTAAGCTATGACTCAAGTATTGATAAGTCAAGGAGTACTAATATATTTTGTATATGCAAAGCCATTCACTGAGTTACAGTAAAATATATTTGAATTCTACAATGAAATTTCGCTTTTGGTTATTGGTTATTTTCTTTTGCCTTTGTCAACTCTTGAATTAACTCCTTAATTTAGAGAAAATACAGGGTGGGCTATAATAGCTATTTGTATGACTAATTTAACAGTGAATTATATGTCCCTTGTATTTTCAATTTTCACTGCAGTGTATGGAATGATTAAGAAATTTAAGAGTAAGTGTAAAAATTAACAGAGAATAGCTGAATTAACAGATACTGATGATAATCGAAGTTAGCTTTATGAATCCTCAAAAATCGATCTTTTGGATATAGACAGAACATTTGAAGGTACATCTGAGTAAGAGAATACGGCAATTGCCAAAATAAACATGAAAAGTATGCATAAGAAAAATAAGAGCTTTGATTAAAAAATTAAAGCCAAAAAGAAAAAGCCTAAAACTTAACCGGCCTAATCACAAATTTATTAGATTTCAAAGTAGGATAACAAAAATAAAGAAAATAAATAAAACAAATCGAAAAGTGTAAGAACTAAATACGAAAAAGATAAAAAGCTACAGACTAAATAAAAATATACATTTAATGGTAAAGGCTAAACATCTAAAATGAACTAATGGGACATTTTTGATAATGATAAATATGGTCTTAGAAAATTATCTCCTAATGATAATTGATTAGTTTTAATGATGCCTTGAAATTTCTACTATCCTTTGAAGTTCAATAGAGTTAGTTGTAAATTTTGATAGCTTATAAAGTTAACTTCCAAAAGTTTTAAGCAATAAATGGAGAATTTTTAAATATTTAATAATTCTAGATACTTTTCAAATAAGACTTTAAGGGGTTTTGGGGTTTTGGGGTTTTGGGG